GTTGGTGTGATGTGTTACCTGTGTGTTGTTTCCTGTGTGTTGTTTCCTGTGTGTTGTTTCCTGTGTGTTGTTACCTGTGATGTGTTACCTGTGTGTTGGTGTGATGTGTTACCTGTGTGTTGTTTCCTGTGTGTTGTTTCCTGTGTGTTGTTACCTGTGTGTTGTTACCTGTGTGTTGGTGTGATGTGTTACCTGTGTGTTGTTTCCTGTGTGTTGTTTCCTGTGTGTTGTTACCTGTGTGTTGTTACCTGTGTGTTGGTGTGATGTGTTTCCTGTGTGTTGTTTCCTGTGTGTTGTTTCCTGTGTGTTGTTTCCTGTGTGTTGTTACCTGTGTGTTGTTACCTGTGTGTTGTCACCTGTGTGTTGTCTCCTGTGTGTTGTTACCTGTGTGTTGGTGTACAGAGTACGACTCTGTGTCAAACAGCTGGTTCCAGGACGTTGAAGCGGTGCTGAAGCTCCCAGGAAAGGTTCCTGATCCAACACCTGGACAGAAACAAGAACCTGAATGAATCTTTACTGAGTCACTGAGGTCACAGGTCCAGTTAACTACAGGTGTAGTTCTAAAGGCAGGACCACACCTGTAACCAGAACCAGGTGTTTGATCTGTGAGAGGAAACCACACAAAAAGCAGGGATCCAACCCAGGTCCTCCTTACTGTGAGGCAGAAGTGCTAACCACTCAGCCACCGTGCTGCTGTTTTTAAAACTAATTAAACAAATTTAAAATACAGAAAAACTTTTTTTTACATAAAATCTAACATCGAGCATCACTTTTCATAAAACTGAACAAGAAAAAAAACCAAGAAACTTTAGTTTTACATGACAAATATTTAAAACTGACTTATTTTAGAGATGTTTTAAATGACCATCAATCAAAATAAAAGCAAAATGCAACAAAAAGATGAGAAATCAAATCAAATCAAATCAAATCAAATCAGAGTTGATTTAATCAGGTTCAGTTTAAAGACTCAGAGGTCAGATTTTAACTGCTTCACAAACAGATAAACTAAAACTTTCCTCAGGAAATGAGCAACAAGGACTGAGACTGAATAAAAACAGAAAACATCTGAACGACTTTCAGAAAGTCTGCAGAGCTACAACACGGGCTAACTGTTAGCTAGCAGCTACCTTGGCGCGTGCAGTCCTGCTTCCCGCCGCTCTCGCGACGCTCCTGGCGGCGACCTGCAGCGGCCACCGGTACATGTCTGCTCCAAAGTCCCGGTGTGAGGACCGAGGAGAGCAGGGACGGGCTGCGTCTTCACCGCGGCTGAGAGCTTCGGGTTTGTTTGGTAACACCTGTCCCAGCAATGTCAACGGGATCTGTCCGGCGGCGAGTTCCGTCCGGTCAGAACACCACGGAGCGAAGAAAGGTTCCGGGGGCTTCAAAAATGACGTCACTGAAGAGTTCACGCGCATTAACGTTTTAATATAATAATTAAAATAACGTTATAATAAACAGGATTAAACTAAATCAGTTTGTAATTTAATTAAAAATGTTTTGCACACTTTTAAAACATTTTAAACAAATGAGAAATATGAAGCTCCTGAAGTACCATGGATTATTTTCTTTTAAATCTTCAGTGCAAAAGTTTTATCCTCAGGTATTTTTATGTGAAGGTTTTAATTTTCTCTTCATGTCAAAGATCCTGATTGTTGACGTCCATGTTTCAGTACATTATTATTA